GTAGTAATGTGCAAATGTTGCGACCGTTTTTTTTTAATACACGAAACACAATTGGTATAATTACATAGTATTTCTGTTGTTTTACTAGCATGAGAATGTCCTACATAAACAACTGCACATGGAAACCACTATTTAAATAACGACTTTTGTTTATATTATAGTGTTGTGTTTTGCCGCCGCCTCGTGCACTATGTGTCAAACCCTGACTACTATTTAAGTATAGTGCACTCAAAACACAACACTATTGTTATTATTCTGCTGACTGTTGTACAAAAATGACAATATTTTCTCCATTTTCAAGGTTTCATTACCTTTCACATTCATGTAAGTACAACCCTATTATGACGTCATATTGTGCTACATGTATATACGTCAAAATCCGTTCTCTTTTAGTTTGAATATTCCAAGCATTAGATACAAATATAATGAACATAATTTAGTTTTAGAGAATCATAGTTGAGTGAAGGGGGCAAATTTTCGAGAAACTATTTTAGACAAAATATTTTAAATGTTTATGTTTCTTTTTTATTGGTAAAATATTTGAAACTCAGTTTATATATATATATATATATATATATAGAGAGAGAGAGAGAGAGAGAGAGAGAGAGAGAGAGAGAGAGATAATATATACCCTTTTCCACATCACATCCTGTATCAGCCCGAGACACCAATATCAGCCCTCTGGCTGATATTGGTGTCTCGGGCTGATACAGGATGTGATGTGGAAAAGGGTATGTTTTATTATATTTATTATATACTTAGTAATAAAATACAGAACACATTAAGTTGAGAAGAAAAGTAAATAATCATGCACGGACTTCATAAAACGTACACAGTCTATTGTCTCATACCGTTTTGGTTTGTTTCTGCATGTACTTCTATTTCAAATGTTCCCAATCCGAAATTTTAAAATAATCTATTATTTATCAGGTAGATTATCATTACATTCAAAAAGTTAAAATTAAGAGAATTATGTAGCCCCCAAAATATGTGTATAATCACAAGTACTGTATTTTGAGGTTAAATTTACTAAGGGTGTGATACTGGATAACCCATATCAGCCCCGCAACTCCATATCAGCCCTGCAGGGCTGATACGGCTATTGTGACGTCAGCCATATCCACCCCTGTCAACGCGCGATCGGCAACGCGGATGCGATCGGCAACGCGGATCAAAACATTGAAGAAGAAAGTATTGTAGGGGGTAAATTTAAATAGTTTTGTATGTGCTGGAGTGTAACCAGCTGAAAATAAAATTAAAAGACATTTAATTTAGATAATTATCTACAGTTTAGGATTTACCGAGAGTAAATTTGGTCCACAGTTTCTGTGCAAATGCTACCGATCAAATCGACAATGTTCAAAATATCAAATTTTCATGCTTTGAAATAGTTTATTGTTGTTATTACCTAAGAACATTTGCTGCTTTTGTTATGTAACGGTTCTTGGAAGTATGAACTAAAAGATTTTAAAATTAAAACTACATACAATATCTTTAAACAAATTTTAACTGGAAAATTTGACAACCGCGAGGCGATCGTCAACGACATGTATCTTTTTATGAAGCGATCGTACAACATAGAAATAGCGATCGTACAACACACGAAATAAGAATAGCACAATTCAGAGAATCTTGTTGTCAAAAAGTTTATTTTGATATACAATAGATATTTTACATTCAAATTAGGCAATCATTCAGTCATTGTTATACCACTTTAAATCTTAAATTTTTCCTACATTTATATAGAAAATTGAAATTAACTGGGTAGATTAAAGAGATACAGCTGAAAAAGAGTTTGATGGCTAACAAAAATGTAAAGTAGATTTTTTACCTCAATTTTCATAACAGTGTCACCCCCCACCCCCCACCCCCCAAAAAACCCCTAAATATCTTAGATGGTTTATCATGCAAAGTGTAAATAAAGGAACATTTTCTAAACTCAAGATTCAATTTCGGAAATGTGTTGTGTGGGATGGCGGGAGGGGGTGTTATGATTCAAGTTCTTGAACAAACAAATTTATCCAAAATTACCAGCTGCCTTACCCGGATTTGACTACATACTGCAAAAGGGGGACAACCACTCTATTGGCTTAGCCCCCCCCCCCCCCAACTTCAAATTAGCCCCCCCCCTTCAATTTGCTTCCGACGTCTATGAAAGTAAAGTTTTCACCCCACCCCACCCCCGATTCTACATTGTACATGTGCGTGCATGATATTAAAATTGGCAATTAATTTAAAAAAAAATAATACTAATAATGATAACAGTTTTCAGTAAATTAGAAAATACACTGTAATACATATAATGCTGTTATATTAACGTGTGCGTGTACAAAACATTTTTACTGAAAATATTCGGTAAAGTTGCTAGGTATGCAAATTCCTTTGATCGTTATTTTTATAGTATTAATACATTTTTTTTTTTCTGAAAAAAATTCAGTTTTTGATATGTATGCCAACTCCTGTAATTGAACTGCCATATCATAGACAATAAAACCTTTTTTCTATATTGCTAAAATTCGGTCCTATAACACTCTATAGGTGTCTGTTTTAAACAATAATCAAATAATATCCATGGAGTTCCATGGAGTTTTAAATTTTGTTCTCTTATAATACGGACATTATTCAACTAATATACAAGATAAATTCGCTCTTTCCCTCTCGAAAATGAAATGCTCGGTATCTCGTTCTATTTCGGCAGACTTTCCACCCATACCACATAGCTATCTATTACTTTATTTCATTAAAAGTATTTTATAAATTTCAAGTTGCACGATCGCATGTTTATCATATTTTCTTTGTTGTACGATCGCATATAGAGTCGTTGCCGATCGCCAAAACGTTTGGCATGTGTTCACTTCAAACCGTTATTTCAACGCTTTCTATTTGATGAAGAACTTCAAATCGGATTTAAAATTTATTATTTACCTATTTACAATTCAAATGTGCCTTTTGGACTGTCGGGTATACGTAATAAGGTAAGAAATACCACTTAAACGAGCTTCATGTGTCACGTTAGGGCAGTCATGTTCAAGGAAAACTTAACTTTAACATAATATATGGCGATTTTTAATGCTTAGAGGACTTTTATGGTGTTAAACATGTCTAGTGGCATTTAAAAAGTCAGAAATGTTGAAGGAAAATTGCGAGGAAATAGGACAAAATAATGTTTTATTTAACCTCATCTTCCTCATGTAGTTGAATTTAACTATCCGCGTTGCCGATCGCATCCGCGTTGCCGATCGCGTGTTGACAGGGGTGATATCGCATATGTAAATATATTACAGTTTTAAAGATAACGGCGTCTGTGGCGTAATCTGTAACGCGTCGGACTATCGCGGTCGTGAGTTCGATCCCCGGCGTGGGCATTTGTCGGATTTTCATCAGAAATAGAAGCCGTACACTATTTCGTATTAAATACATTGTAGTTGATTTCCGTTTTGGTGTGTGAATCGCACAGACTTGTCACATAGGCATATTTCATGAAGCGCGCTACCGCTTCATGAAAAATACGCCTATGTGCAAGTCTGTGTGATTCACACAACAGTAATTCACACTTAACTTAAAAGCATTCCTTATATTTACATTTTACATTGTTGGAAGCACAAAAATATACTTTATATTTGAATTTCTCGCTGCCCTATATCGTTATACTTTTACTAACGTCGTTGTAGCCTTATTGTGACGTCACGTTAACGCACGTTTCTCCGTGTATATTTCTACGCGTGAGTATAGTATACACGAAAATGGTATTCAAATCAATTTCACAGTTGGCTTAGTAGAAAAACATAACGAATGTAAATATTTTTTAATGTGGGACATAAATAAATACATTTTTAATTTTATTTTTTACCCGTAGGCCGTAGCTATCAAACAGTTAAATTACTGCCATGATTGTAATAAGCATTGGATACTTTCTATAAAATTATGAAATTCATGGCCCTGTGATCAGCGTTTATAGAGTGAGACTTTATGCAACACTGTTCAGGCTTACTTCGAGAAAATCGACGCAATGTAAAGCAGAACATTTCAAAACTGAATTATATTTGTAAAGCTGTTATATTATCACATGACGTTAGTACTTATTGAAATGACATAGTATACCCCACTCTGTATTGAATTAAGATTGCCCATGACAGTCACGTAATTAGTACATGCACAATACATGTCTATGAGAAAACAATATCCAAAACAGACTAATGGAGGAATAGCTAGACAGATAAACGGACAGAAGATTAGATTACTAGTCTACTCAGGTTTCATCTATAGGGGACATTTTCTCTGTTCATCAAAGATAACATGATCAAAATGATTCTGTTTAGCGTTGTGATACATGGACCTTTTTATGTTAATAAATGAAAAGCAAATCAATAAAATATATTAAGTCATAAATAATGATTGCTATTTTGAATTTCAATTTCATAAGTATTGTTACTAATGCTTTCATATTACCACATTTTTGATGGAAAACTTCTGATAAACATGTTTTCTCTTAATTTAAGAAGTGCGGAAGTTCGATTGGAAGTAATTCAACACTAAGTCGCCATGGGTAAATTGCTGAAGTTTTATACATTCTTTATAGAGACAGTAAGTATTTTATAAAATTATATCGAAAAAAACTATTACTTACAGGAAAAAAAAGCACAAATATTTTGATGGGCACTTATTGTGCGCCTTTAATAGCCGACCCATTCTTATTATAGAATTTAATGTTCTTTTTTCAGAATTTATCGATGTGTGAACGCATGCTTTTGTACTCACAAACTGAATATGTCGACTAAAAAGGAGGAAATGAGTGCCAACAGTTTGTCTAAAAAAACTTGGTCCTTAATTACTACACAGATTCTGTCAATAAAGAACTCCAGCATGCTTTTAATATAAACTTCAGAATACGTGTTAAAACTGGAGTAAATACTAACGATATGGATTTCTCTGATAAACAATCACATCATAAGAACATTTCTGAGTTAGTTTTTTTTAATTGAAGAAATTTGTGTATGACATCAGGAAATCAAAACATGATTATAGTGATTAATGCTTATTTACAATAACGTCTGTTCAGTGATAAGTTATATATTTCAGAGATTTGCAGTAATTGGAAAATTTCATCTGTACATGTGAAAACATTTTTGTAACACGTCTGTCTGTTTTGAGTGAAAATTGATGGCAAGACAATGAATAGAGGTAAAATAATGTAGTATTGAACATAGATTTTGTTAGTTAAAAGTTAATTAAAAATTGCTCCAGATTTCTTATGCTTTGTCAAAAACCTGGATCACTGCAGTGGAATTGTGTTTTCCTCCAAAATACAACTGGATTTTAATTTTTTCGAATGATGTTGATATTATCCGATCTCCTGTCAACCTTCTTTTTGGATCACTGCACTGGAATGGTATTTTCCTCCCTAGGATAACCGGGTAGTAGTTCTTACGAAGGATGCTGGTATTCTCTTCTGACCATTGAATACTGTTTGAAGGACATCTTTTAAATGCATCGATTGTTTCGTCCAAAATTTCATCGTACGTTCTATTCAATAAAAAAAAATATAACGTGTTTAATCAATTTAAATTTTGGTTAAAAAAGGTTCAAGAATTTCAATAACAAATGCTTTTAAGCATCTCAAAGTGCTCTCTGTTTCTATTACCAGCCGGCTTCATTAGAGCGTCGAAATGATTATTTGAATAAACCAGGCGTAGGAAAATCACATATATTACATTTAAAATTCGTCATTGGGGGCATCCGTTTGATAGAATGTTAAAGTCAATTGGAAATGATTTTATTAGAGATTTGGACGAACAAGGCATATGATATGCCTATTTTAAACGTATACAAGCTTTATTGTCCCCTGCTTTCGCGAAAGGGGACATTAAATCTCATTCGTCTGTCCGTCAGTCTGTCTAGCTGTCCGTTCGTCACAAAAACTTTAACCTTGCCCATAACTTTTGATTCAGTGGAGCTATGACTTTCATATTTCACATGTGTATTCCTTGTGACAAGACCTTTCTTTGGGTACCACCAAATTTGACCTTTTGACCTTGGAGTTTGACCCACTTTTACACAAAAATTCCAAACTTATGCTTTGGCTATAACTTTTGAATGGTAGGACTAGGACTTTCATATTTCACATATGTATTTTTTGTAGCAAGACCTTTCATTGGATACCAACAACTTTGACCTTTTGACCTTGACCTTGGAAATTTCCGTACTTATGAAATATCTTTAACCTTGACCATAACTTTTAAATGGTAAGGGCTAGGACTTTTGTACTTCACATTTGTAGTCCATGAGAGAAGACCTTTCATTGAATACCAACAACTCAGACCCTTTGACCTTGACCTTGGAGTTTAAACTACTGTTTAAAAACTTCACAACTTTTGAACGGTAAGTACTAGGACTGTCATATTTCACATATGTATTCTTTGTGACAAGATCTTTCATTGGATACCAACAACTTTGACCTTTTGACCTTGACCTTGGAGATTTACGTACTTATGAAAAAACTTAAACCTTGACCATAACATTTGAACGGTAAGGGCTAGGGTTTTCGTACTTCACATATGTAATCCTTGTGAGAAAATTTTTCTTAATAAACCAACAACTCAGACCCTTTCAACTTGGAGTTTGATCTACCTTTCAAAAATGTATCCTCGACTTTAACTTTTGCTATGGATTTTGTATTTCACAATCGCATTTCTTGTGAGAAAAACCCTACTTTGGGTAATAATATATTTAATTTGCATTTAATAAAAAGTTTAATCTTCGTTATGTTGCCATACGGCGTCATCAGTGTTTCACAAACACATCTTGTTCCTTATATTGAGAAGAGAAAGGGATTTCATATTTGACATGTGTATTACCTGTGACAAGATAATTTCGAGCATGCTATGATTTCTTACCTCGTGACCTTGACCTTCACCATTGACTTTATTTTAAAAAAAACAACTTCAATGATAATTTTTAAATAAATGACATATGATATAGTGTTTATATTAGACACAATATGTCATAAAAAAATAACATCTCATCCACAAAGACACCGAAAGCGGGGGACCATATTTCTTTGAATTTGCTTGTTTATTTCATGAATCTAGCATTAAGAGTAAAGTTCTTAATATTGTATGGTATGAATTTATTGCATAACGGACTAACTAATGTTGAAGCCCTGACCTGGGGGCCATAAAAGTTAGACGAGCTCACTTTCGATCTCAGTCTCACTTTTCCACTATACATTCCTTTGTTAAAAATGAGACTGAGACCAAAAGTGAGCTCGTCTAACTTTTATGGCCCCCAGGCCTGACATACCCAACAAACTAGACAGTGATTACTTAAGTATTTGAATCAAATGTGTGATGTTAACCTGGACCAAATTGAAGACATTTTCTCGGGGAGATTGCCAGGTTATAAAACTGTATTTTAGGGTGTAGTATGTTTCTCCATGACTCTGTTTACCCCAAAATATGTATTTTTACTCATACGATGAAAAAAATATTTCAGAAGAAAAAAGAACAAAGAATTGTTTAACCATTTTTTTCTAAAAAAAAAAAAAACTTAATTAAACGTGTTAATTAAACTGGTAATCAGAATCCTTTTAAAACTTACCCACAGAAAGACTCTTTAGACACATTTTTATTATTTGCTGTGAAATCCTGTCCAGGGGGACCCATTAGGGTATGCAATATCTCAGTATAGTTACCAAGCTTCTTGTTCAGTCTGTTCATACACTGTCGCAAGTTCTTTAAGACTACAATAAAGAACGTCGATTTTTTTTTAAATATTAACCTATAAAAGAGAAAAGTTATAAATTTTGAACAAATACTAATTTCCGTGTAATTTGGTCAAATACGTACGTGGGTATATAGGATTAATGCAAAGACTTGTTTCTTTCGACTTGTACATTGAGATGAATCTTGTTTGATCAACACATTCTGTGACTTTAAAACTATCCAACTCCTCCACACAATCAACGAGTTCCTGGACATACCTGTAAAAACGATAGATAATAAGTAGCAAAGGCCTAAGAAGGGACAATTTGCACGTTAGTTAATAAAATATGTTTTCGCAATACGCCCAAGTTTACATGAGAACCTTCATGAAATGCTGACTTGCAATAATCGGTGAAGAAATTTTCTCCAAGGTACATATTTCCTTCTTGGTCAGTTGAATTCGGTGGTGCAAAGAAACAGGCATTCAAGCCAGGACAATCGTCCTCAATGTATGTATCGTTTATGTACTCGTATGTAGCATTTATGTATTCAAAGTCATCACGTTTTTCTTCATAGATATCGATGTCATCTCGCCTCATCACAACATTACCTACATGTTCATAAGAGGAACAAATTAAAGAACAAATAGCAATTTAAACTTCGTTTTAAAGAGCCTGTTTTGAACAATGTCCCCATTATCACAACTGTATTCTGGTGAAGATCGAATTATACATTATACTTTTTTAAAAAGCTTCCAACTTCCAAGAGGAAAACTGAACATACATAACATTGAAACAACTGAATTTATAAGCCTTTAAAATTTCCACTGACAAACTTTCCTCACGATCTCATATATGTACAATACTCCGTATTTTAAATCAAAAACGTTCATTCTTTATGCTTACCAACGGCGTAACCAAAGTATGCCGAACTAATGATAAATAAGGCCCAGTAACAAACGAACATCTCTTTGTTCATGACTGTTCTCCGTTTGAAACATGAATGTTGCAATTTCCGAATGCTGCAATTTATAATTGCAGTAAATTATTAAAATCGTCCTTAATCATCAACAAAATTATTCAAATCTAATGATTTTCGACTGTAATTCTCAATTATGGAAAGGTCAAAACCTACGAACATGACAATTTGACTTAGTAATATAAATCCTATCCACTCTTTTTTAAATTACTGACGTCTATTACGATTGTTATAGATATATTTTGTTCTTTGAGTCTCTCCTCTCGTTTACTTCTTCGGAATAAAAAAAAATATCATTTGGCGACGATTTTATGGATTTTGAGTTGAACACAATTGTATCTATGAATTTGACAGCCCTAGCACCAACCATTAAAAAGATATGATCAAGGTTGAAGATTTGAAGAGTAGGTCAAGCTTCAAGGTAAAGGAAGTTGAAACGTACCCTGAAATACATCTTTTCACAAGAAATACACGTGTAAAATCTTAAAACTTTAGCTCAAACTATTCAGAAGTTATGGTCAAGGTTTAAAGTTTTCCAAAGATAGGTTAAACTCCAAGGCCAGGAGGTCAACTTGGTAATTCCCAAGAAATGTAGTGTCACAAGGAAAACATAAGAAAGTCTAAGCACCAATAATTCTGAAGGAATGGGTAACATTAATTTATTACAAAAGTACTTTTAACTACAAGATCAATAGGCCTTAAGTGTTGGTACCAAAATCGTAGAAACATCTTGTCACAAGGGGCAACCATATGACTTTACCCCCAGGACAATCATTTAGAGGTTAGTGTAAGGTGTTTTTAAAAGTGCGTCACACTACAAGAATATGATGAGATCATTCAAAATGCTAGTGTAACGAATAAAGACAAGTTCGTTTTAGGGTTCTTTATTTTTAATTAAATATCAAATTGGCAATGAGCTACAAACAAACAAATATATATACACACCTTACCAATAGAACGCACAAACAAAAATAAAAGAATTATTCGGTAAATGAATTTAAATTCAACTGAACACATACCACCAAAATATGGCGATGCCACACCCTGTCACTCACACATGAAATGTTTTACACTGCGTGTGTGGTCTCTACATTGAAATAAACAAGGTATCGGTATTTATTATATTAACGATAAAAAGGTATAATATTCAGAGTAATTCAAGTTTAATAAAACACTAGATTAAAGCTGAACACTACTCGTAAATAGGCATAGTCCGCCATTTTTCCCGTTCTTCAACGCTCTCCCTACAACACGTATATAAGGAGCAGATCGCTAGTCAGTTCATTGTATTTCACTAGATTAACACCATTCTTACCGTAGCACGCATCACTCTCAAACTCTATCTCGAACACGTTCAGTTCATAACAGGGGCGTCAGCATAGTGAGTAATATTAATAGATAACCTGTCAGTGACGAACCAGTTTATATCTTAGAGATTTACTCAACAAACTAATAATTTTATAAATTCAAATCACTGTACTGAAAATTAATAAAAAATAGAAAACAACTACATTAATATTCAAATAGAATTTTTATTAAGTTTTTAATAATATAATTTCTAAATAAAATTATAAAACTAAATACCTGGCGCAAGGACAGAAACTCTGTAATTAAATAGATTGTCGGTTAATAAAGTATGGTGCGCGTTTCGCGTTCCTTTAATATGCGCAAAATCAACCGTTACACTAGTAATTTATATATGGAAAATGAAGGTGAAATGCAGCATTCAAAGATGAGATTGATTTTTTAAAGCCATTTTATTTCAGTGTAATTCTAAGCCATAGCTAGAAGCATTGATCATGCATCAGAGGATCACACTCAAAATTGCTTCAGATTCTGGATATGATTTAATATTTAAATGAGTGAATAGTCTAATCTCTTTTATTACCAGCCCTTTCCTAAGTACCTGCAAGCCCTAGCAGACCATAACTGCATTTATAAATCTGGCCTTTAATCAAGTCAGTATAAATCATAAATACTTCACAGATTTCATAAATGAGGAAACATTTTACTGTAATAATCATTAATGGGATTTATTGGCAGGAGAAATCATTGGATTTCGTGGTGGCTCAATGTTCGTTGAACTCGAGTTACACTTCATCCATGAATTACATCCCATACAAATTACGGTTACAAAGTTTTATATGCTAATAACTCTAGATTCAACAGAGTACACAAAATAACCTCCCTACGAACCTGCAAAATTGAATTGATGCATGAAAATTGCCCCCATGAATTTTAATGATTCCACAGTAAGTCTAAATATACTTAGCAATCATGAAAATATTAGTGACTCAAATTGTGAAAATGTCATATCATGTGGTGACTTTAACCTTGTATTAAATATAACATTAATATATTCATAAATATATAAATAAATGAAAGAAAGATGGTTAAAGAGCTTATCGAAGATAATTACTTTTTGATATTTAGAGAAAAAAGAATCGGGATGCTTTGAGATACGCTTGGAGGAAAAAAGTCCCACAAAACAAATTATTTTCTGATATCAGAGAATTTACTGTCGTGTTACTACAAGCTCTACAGACCTACCTACCTAGTCCTTGTTATGCCCGTGGGCACATAGGGCAAGGACTAGATTTCTCCACTTCTCTCTATCTTTAGCGTTTCTTTCCAGCTCTCCCCCCGTTAGCTTGTGTTCCCTCATTTCTTTTTCAACCGTCCTTTGCCAGGTGATCTTTGGCCGACCAGGTTTCCTCTTCCCTTCTGGTGTCCATCTAAGGGCTACTTTGGTGATGTTGTCGGATTGCTTCCTCAACACATGCCGTATCCATCGCCATCTCCGTTTAGTCAACAAGGTCCGCATGTTGTCTGTGTTGGCCTTCTCATGTAGTTCCACATTTGTCATTTTGTTTGGCCAGAAAATCCTCATGATCTTTCTGAGGCATCCATTGTGGAAACTAGAGAGTTTGCATATGTCTCCTTCTGTCATTCTGGCGCATTCTGACCCATAGAGTAGGACAGACAGTACGCAACTGTTAAATATTCTTATTTTTGTCCTTCTACTTATATCATTTGTTTTCCAGATGTCCTTGAGGCTAATGAAGGCACCTCTGGCTTTACTTAGTCTGGCCTTTATATCTTTCCGCACCTCCATCTATGTAACTATGCTGCCAAGATAGGTAAATGTTGCTGTGTTGCTCAGGTCGTTTCCATCAACCTGTATTCTTGCTGGTTGTTTGGTGTTTAATGACATAACTTCAGTTTTCCTGGTATTGATTTTTAGTCCAATTTTTTCTGCATTTATCTGTAATTAGGTCTTCAAGATTGGTAAAGAGTGTCCATCTTATTCCTGTGTTATTCCCATTTAGGGTTGATTTCATTACCCAGTCAACTGCTAGTATAAACATAGGTAATCAAAGATTACGAAGCTCACCTCGATGAATGTTATCAGTTTAAGTAATGCAAATCTCACATCATATTTTCTTAATATTAAGTATTCATCCCAACAACAATATTCTTGCAAGTTGTGTTTAACCCCTTACATGTCATATACACATTTCTATGCGTGTAGCGTGAAAAACATGTATCGTGTAAACAAATATTTATAACTGTTAATACTGCAGATATCAAGGACTTCAAGTTCATTTGGATTGATCTGTTCCCAAAACTTTAACCTGGTCTCTTGTATGGAAAATATAGGTCAGATCCAGCATCCGAAGCAAGTCTGATAGTGTCCATCCTAAGATGCATTATCCATGCAAGTTTGGTTTAGCTAGGGCTTATAGTTACTTGGGAATGAAAATATAGGTCAGATCCAGCATCCGAAGCAAGTCTGGTAGTGTCCATCCCTAGATACATCATCCATGCAAGTTTGGTTTAGCTAGGGCTTATAGTTACTTGGGAATGAAAATGTAGGTCAGATCCAGCATCCGAAGCTTGTCTGGTAGTGTCCATCCTTAGATGCATCATCCATGCAAGTTTGGTTTAGCTAGGGCTTATAGTTACTTGGGAATGAGAATGTAGGTCAGATCCAGCATCCGAAGCAAGTCTGGTAGTGTCCATCCCTAGATGCATCATCCATGCAAGTTTGGTCCAAATAGGGCTTATAGTTCCTGTGGACCTGCTCTAAAAACTTTAACCTGGTCACTCATCTGGAAAATGTAGGTCAGATCCAGCATCCGAAGCAAGTCTGGTAGTGTACATCCCTAGATGCATCATCCATGCAAGTTTGGTCCAGGTAGGGCTTATAATTCCTTGGGAGTGGACCTGCTCCAAAAACTTTAACCTGCTCCAAAAACTTTAACCTGGTCACTCATCTAGAAAATGTAGGTCAGATCCAGCATCCGAAGCAAGTCTGGTAGTGTTCATCCCTAGATGCATCATCGATCCATGCAAGTTTGGTTCAGGTAGGGCTTATAGTTCCTTGGGAATGGACCTGCTCCAAAAACTTTAACCTGCTCCAAAAACTTTAACCTGGTCACTCATCTAGAAAATGTAGGTCAGATCCAGCATCCGAAGCAAGTCTGGTAGTGTACATCCCTAGATGCATCATCCATGCAAGTTTGGTTCGGGTAGGGCTTATAGTCACTTGAGAATGGACTTGCTCCTAAAACTTTAACCTGGGACGCCGACGCCAACGCCGGGGGTATAGCATAAGCTCATCTCCACTTCGTCGAGGTGAGCTAAAAAGGAAAAGAATGAATTCAGTTATTTATTCTTGGTCTTATACAATGCTTAAAATGTTTTAATCTTTTACAAACATGAGATTAATTGTAAATAATAATTTTAAAAAACCTTACTTTTATGGGCAGATCACTCTAACTGCATGAAATTACCTTAATACGTGTTGTTTTTTAGTGTGCAGTGTTTAGAACTTCCTTAAGAGTGGTAATTTTCATTCCTATGTCGATACGATATATCCTGGTGAGATTGAGATAAAAGATACCACAGAGTCTGTCACATCTGCTTCATTATTGAATACCGTATTTTACTTGAAAAAGACGTTAATGGTAATCTAACAACTAAGCTCTATGATAAACTAATGCAACAATATACCTTCAATACCTGCAAACGGCGTTTATATATCTTTATATATCTCAGTTGATTCTATAAGCAAGAGCATGCTCTACGTATTTCTAAAACGAGGTAAATTATTGACAAACAAGTTGATGAAACAAGAATATCTGCAGTCTCGTTTTAAGTCATCATTTCGTAAGTTCTTTGG